TAAAGATATTGCTATGACTTATGTCTGATATTTTGCTGCCTATGGAGTCTTCTAACATTTTTATGGTTTCCCGTCTTACATATAAGTCCTTTAACCATTTTGAGTTTGTTTTTTGTGTATGGTGTAAGTTGGTGATCTAGTTTTATTTTATTTTTTATTTTTTGCATGTATCTGACCAATTTTCCCAGCACTATTGAAGAGACTGCCTTGACTCCATTGTATGCTCTTCCTCCTTTGTCAAATATTAATTGAGCATAATGGCTTGGGTCAATTTCTGGGTTCTCTGTTCTGTTCCATTGCTCTATAAGTCTGTTCTTGTGCCAGTACCAGGCAGTTTTGAGAACTGTGGCTTTATAACATAGCTTGATATGTGGTATTGAGATTCCTCCAACTTTGTTCTTCTTTCTCAGGCTTGCTGTGGCTATTCGGGGTCTTTTTTTATTTCAGTCGAATGTTTGGGGAGTTTGTTCTAGGTCTGTGAAATACGCTGTTGGTATTTTAACAGGGATTGCATTGAATCTGTAAATTGCTTTGGGTTTTAATAAATAAAAGTATTTTTTAATTAGAACTAATCCACGGTTTAAAATCCATGCTTGCGATCTAGTAAACTGCTCCCAGAAGGAAAACCAGAGATATGTTTTTCCCTAAACATTGCTTCAGAGCCAAAAATAATGATGTTGATGAGCAACAGCACATCTTTATCAAGAATAGAAGCTTTCTGCTCCAAAATAAAAATTGGTTACAGCCTTATCTAAAATGAAAAACTTTCAAATTTTGAAAGCATGCTAGTGCTTTTGGGGGTGGGGGGGCGCATGGCAGGAGCTCACTACCAATCTTGGAGCATGCTCTGTTCATATTGGTCCCTTTAGTCATCTGAGCTAGTGGGAAAAATAAGAACACTGGCAAGGTCAATTCTTCCATAATTTTCCCATGGCCCTACGGCCCAATCCAAAAATGCTGGTGGGAGCATTAATAAGGCTGGACAAATTATGTGTCCAACAAATCAAGTTCACACACCAAAATAAGCTTTACTAAGACATATGACTGGATCATCACTCTTCTTCTCACACAATTATATGGATCAAAATAATGTCCCTTCTGAGAAAAAGAAGAAAATAGAAGATAGAGGGGGAAATGCAAACGTAGGTCTTATATATGTTACAAGTATTTCTTTTGAGAGTCTCTTCATCTTAAATTATCCTGGCAATCTAAATATGGATTTGTTTCAAGGTAATAAGGAAATTGTCATATTTATTTATTGAACAAATACTTACATGGCTTTCACCATATGCCAGGCACTGTTCTAAGCATTTTATAAATATCCTATGAAGAAATCATCTCAACAATTCTTTCAGGTATTTTCATTTACCTCATTTTAGAAGAAACTGGGGCACAGAGAGGTTAAGTAACTTGCCCAATAGCACATAAGTAAGTAGCAAAGCTGGAATTTGAACCCAGGCAGGCTGGCAACAGAGTCTCTGCCCTTTATCGCTATGCTGTGACACGTCGTTGATTTTTCCCACCCAGCCATTTAGTTTGGTGTGTTTTTGTTTTTCTTTCTAGATCCTTCCCACTGATTTCTATTTGTTCTGCTGAATCTTGGAAAGCATTTATCCTCTTTACTATTTATAAGAACTTGGATCTGACTCCTAATCTGTGATTTTCATTCCACCCTGAGCAGCTCATCACAGGCAAGGGAGATGCTGCAATAATTATGCCTGTGGGCACTACAGCATTGGCAAGGACATCATTGACTTCATCTTGGACCGAATTCACAACGTGGCAGACCCGGACACAGGCCTCCAGTACTTCTTGGTTTTCCATAGCTTTGATGGAGGAACTGGTTCTGGATTCACCTCCCTGCTGAGGGCTCTCTGTTGATTATGGCAAGAAGTCCAAGCTAGAGTTCTCCACTTACCCAGCCCCTCCCAGGTCTCCACAGCTGTAGTTGAGCCCTACAACTCCGTCCTCACCACCCACGCCACTCTGGAGCACTCTGATTGTGCCTTCATGGTTGACAACAAGGCCATCTACAACATTTGTCGTAGAAAACTTGATATTGAGTGCCCAACCTACACTAACCTTAACCGCCTTATTATCCAGACCAGGGGTCCTCAAACTTTTTAAACAGGGGGCCAGTTCACTGTCCCTCAGACCGTTGGAGGGCCGGACTATAGTTTAAAAAAAAAACTATGAACAAATTCCTATGCACACTGCACATATCTTATTTTGAAGTAAAAAAAACAAAACGGGAACAAATACAATATTTGTATTTGCATGTGGCCCGCGGACCGTAGTTTGAGGACCCCTGATCCAGACTGTGTCCTCCATCACTGCTTTCCTCAGGTTTGATGGAGCCCTGAGTGTTGATCTGACAGAATTCTAGACCAACCTGTCCCTGAATCCACTTCCCTCCTGCCACATATGTCATCTCTGCTGAGAAAGCACACCATGAACAGCTTACTGTAGTAGAGGTTACCAGTGTGTGCTTGAGCCAGCCAACCAGATGGTGAAATGTACCTCACACCACAGTAGAGACATGGCTTGCCACCTGCTGTACCATGGAAACCTGGTTCCCAAAGATGTCAATGCTCCCATTGCCACCATCAAGACCAAGCGTACCATCCAGTTTGTGAACTGGTGCCCCACTGGCTTCAAAGTTGGCATTGATACCAGCCTCCCCCTGAGGTACCTGGTGGAGACCTGGCCAAAGTACTGTGAGCTGTGAGCGTGCTGAGCAACACCACAGCTACTGCTGAGGCCTGGACCACAAGTTTAACCTAATGTATGCCATGTGCCTTTGTCTGCTGGTACATGGGTGAGGGCATGGAGGAAGGAGAGTTGTCTGAGGCCCCTGAGGACATGGCTGCCCTTGAGAAGGAGGTTGGTGTGGATTCTGTTGAAGGGGAGCGTGAGAAAGAAGAACACTAATTACCATTCTTTCAGCCCTGCAACATGTCATACTCAGAACTTCAGGTTCAACAGCTAACAGGTGTTAATGCTTTCAGGTTAAATTGTCTTCACTTTTACCTGTGATCACATCTGTCTTTTTCTTGTGTACCTATAAGATTTCCCCCTCAGATCCCAAAATAAAAGCATTGAGAAAGAAAAACAAAAACAAACAAAAATATGCCATGTACCCTTTTAAGCATCATTTCCTTTGAAAAAGAAATATAAAGGGAAAGGAAAATGAAACAATGTATAATGAGTTTTTCCTTTTCTTATTAGTTTCAGGTTTACGGCATATTGGTTACCAGCCGTGGGCAAACTACGGCCCACGGGCCGAAGATTTCCCCCTCAGATCCCAAAATAAAGGCATTTAGAAAGAAAAACAAAAGCAAACAAACAAAAATATGCCATGTACCCTTTTAAACATCATTTCCTTTGAAAAAGAAATATAAAGGGAAAGCAAAATGAAACAATGTATGATGAAGTTTTTCCTTTTCTTATTATTAGTTTCAGGTATACAGCATATTGGTTAGACAATCATATGCTTTACAAAGTGTTACTCCTGATATTTCCAATACCACCTGCCACCATTCAAAGTTATTACAATACTAGAGGCCTGATGCACAAAACTTGTGCACTTGGGGGGGGGGGGGGGGGCCCTCGGCCCAGCCTGTGCCCTCTCACAGTCCTCGAGCCCTCAGGATATGTCCATCAGTCAGACATCCTTAGTGCTACCACGGAGGCGGAAGAGGCTCCTGCCACTACCGCTGCACTCGCCAGCCATGTGCCCAGCTTCTGGCTGAGTGGTGCTCCCCCTGTGGGAGTGCACTGACCACCAGGGGGAAGCTCCTGTGTTGAGTGTCTGCCCCCTGGTGGTCAGTGCGTGTCATAGCGACCAGTCATTCCACTGTTGGTCTATTTGCATATTAGCCTTTTATTATATAGGTTTATTGACTATATTTCCTATGCTGTACTTTACATCCCAATGACTGTTTTCCAACTAACAATCTGTACTTCTCAAACCTTTCACCTTTTTCACCAAAGCCTCCTCCCTCTGGCAACCATCAGTCTGTTCTCTGTATCTATGAGTCTGTTTCTGTTTTGTTTGTTCATTTATACTATTCTTGAGATTCCACATATAAGTGAAATCAAATGGTATTTGCCTGTCTCTGACTGACTTATTTCACTTAGCATAATACCATCTAGGTATATTCATGATGTCACAAATGGTAAGATTTCATTCTTTTTTTATGGCCAAGTACTATTCCATTGCATATATGTGCCACAGATTTTATTCCACTTTTCTTTTGATGGGCACTTAGGTTGCTTCCATATCTTGGCTATTGTGAATAATGCTGCAATGAACATAGAGGGGCATATTCTTTTGAATTAGTGTTTCAGGTTTCTTTGAATATATACCCAGAAATGGAATCTCTGGGTCATAAGGCAGTTCTATTTTTGAGGAACTTCCATATTGTTTTCCATAGTATATAATAAATTAATTTTAGATACAATGCCTCATGTTTTTTCAAGATGGATTAACTTATAATTTAGAGGCCATTCTGAGTGCTTATTTATAACTTGGCTATTTTATAACAAACTAGAGACCCAATGCATGAAAATTTGTGCAAAAGTAGGCCTTCCTTTCCCCAGCTGCCAGCACCGGCTTCCCTCCGGCACCCGGGACCCAGGCTTCCCTCTGGCCACTGGCAGGCACCCAGGACCTGGGCTTTGCTCCAGCCCCAGCTTCATCCGGAAGGACGTCTCTCCAACTGAAGACCTGATCAGCCTGGGTCCCTGAATGACTGTATAGGCAGCGGTTCTCAACCTGTGGGTCGCGACCCCTTTGGGGGTTGAACGACCCTTTCACAGGGGTCGCCTAAGACCATTGGAAAACACATATATAATTACATATTGTTTTTGTGATTAATCACTATGCTTTAATTATGTTCAATTTGTAACAATGAAATTGGGGGTCACCACAACATGAGGAACTGTATTAAAGGGTCTCGGCATTAGGAAGGTTGCGAACCACTGTTATAGATTATTTAAATAATGACTCTCCATATTCATATCTTTCTTTTTTTTAAAAAGTATTTATTTTTAGGACTATCTCACCTCTCCCTCCTTGTGGTTCCCAAGCAACTACCATGGTCTCATGGTGGGGAGAAGGATAGGATTGCATATTATTTTATGCAATCAAATAGATTTTTAAAAAAAGAATATTAACTTTTAAAAAGCAAAAGCTCCATTCTTTTTGGAAGAACTTGTTCAGTTATGACTGTCAATTTATGGCATCAATTCACTACAACAGGAACCCCCATTTTGGGGTGCAGTGAAGAAGGAAACTTTATTCAGTACAAACAGCTCAATTGTAATACAGCCCGATTGTGAGAACAGCACAGCTATGAAACAGCTCAATAGTGTTATAGCTCAGTTATGAAGCAGCATGGCTTCAAAGCTGCTTGGCTGCAAGGTGGCCCTGGGATGCAAAGACCCTGGGCCCAGGGCCCTCTCTGGCTAAACAGCTCTGCTCTGCTCTGCGTGTCCTCCACTCTGGCCCAGGGAGATGTCTTTGATGTCTCAGCTTAGGTGTTTCAGCCCCAGCAGGGAAACACAACCTTTTGTTCTTGGTAGAAAGGAGGACAAATTAGGACTTCAAATCCTCATGCAAATGAGGACTTTAAATCCTCACAGTTTGATTGGTCCAAAAGTTACTTCTTGATTGGGCAGGGTGGAGCCACTCTGATTGGTTGGTAAAGATGTTGGGGATATAGCTGCACAGGTCCAATTGGATGGGGAAAGTTTCAGTCCTGGTTGAAATAAGATTCCAGGAACTCCTTTATAAGGGCTGGCTCAGCTGGCAGGAACACTTCAGGCAGGCAGTTCAGTGCAGTTTGTGGAAGAAGTTTCTGTGTAGAAATGGTTGCTAGGCTGTTTGTTTTGTTTTGTTGATTTGAGCCTTGTTAGCCACCAGGAGTCCTTCTTGATGAGTATCTTCTTTCACAGGGTCCACATGATCTTTTTACATGAATTTACCACTTCCATTGGGAATTTATCAAAATACGAGTGGCCCGGTGCATGGATTCATGCACATTGAAAGGAAAAAATATTTTAATAGCACTATTTGCCCTTTCTCTATAATAGAAGTGTCAGAG